CCATACAGGTAGTTGCAAAGGATTTCTGGTGAACAGCCAGGATTCTGAGAAAGGAAGCCAAAAACTCACCTGTGCAATTATTGACAGATTATGTTTGTCCTGGGTTCTTTCAGTTGCTTTATTTCTTCCAGATAGTATTTCATCACAGGCCACTGCTAAGCCAACTTCTCTCCCACAAATACAGAATTTATTGTGTTATATGCTCTGATTCCTATCTCATGCCACATTTTAGTCTATTTTCAAATTATTTAGTCTCAGTTATTTAATGTGTTCATGTGAAAGGATAGATGTAAACTTTAACTCTTTTTTAGTTGCTTTGTTGGACATGAGGTGGAAGTTTGGAGCTTCTGAATGAAGACTTAAGTACCAAGAATGGGTTGGAGTGGTGAGAGCGAGGCAGGTTAGGCTGCATATTGGAGCTAGCCAACATGCCCTGTAGATTCAGCCTGCCTTGCACATATGGACTAAGAAAGCTCTAAGTTGTTAGCTTTTATAACTGGCATGGCAATTACCACTGCTTTTCATTTGTACTTTGAGAGAGCTTATCCACACTTTTCTTATTTTTCTTTTTTTTGGGGTCTGGTCGTGGGGCCTGAACTCTGGGGCCTGGGTGCTGTCCCTCAGCTCTTCAGCTCAAGGCTAGCGCTCTATCACTTGAGTCAGAGCGCCACTTCCGGCTTTTTTTTTCTTTTTCTGCTTATGTGGTGTTGAGGAATCGAACCCAGGGCCTCAAGCATGCAAGGCAAGTGCTCTACCACTGAGCCACCTTTCCAGCCCACTTATCCACACTTTTCTTACTGATGAATAGCTTTGTCTGTTTCTATTTTGTCTCTGCCACTCTGTTAAATATTAGTTCTCTTCTAGTTGTATCATTATCAATCTGGACTTTGCGTCATTGTACCACATTATTTTATGTGACATAAAGCTGATTTATATTGCTTACTGCTCTATTTCAGTGCACTTTTATCCAATGGTATGTAGGTTAAAACATCTTAAATAGAAAATTCTTTTTGAAATACAGGGAAGATTAAGGCGTCAATATAAAATACTAAAAACTAAACTGTTGCTCAATGTCTTTCTTCTAGGCTTTGGAAAGCATTTTGGCAAGTGAACGTTTACCTTTCTCCTGTCTTAAAAACATCACTGAGACTTTAATGGACACTTTAAAAAATCAAGGTAATAGTTTGTACTGATGAAGGTAATTGCTTCACTTCAAATTTTATATGTCATTGTAGCTTATAGTATTATTTTAATATGTATGCAATGTGTCATTTTAACATACATAATGAAATTGGTTTATATATAATAATTTGGTTTATATATATATAAACCTATTCATATATATATATAAACCTATGCATATATATATATATATGCCTATTTATATGTGTATATAAACACGTTCGTACCTTCAATCTTTGGGGGTCTTGTTATTCCCTATATATGCAGTTGATGTTTTTTAGCTATTTCAGAATGTATTACTATTTCTTGTTGGAAATACTTTCATGTAGGCCCCACAGTTGTGAGAAAAGCTCTTTATAGATAGATGAATAATTTTGGAGAACATTTTGAAAGCCCTGCCAGTAGAGAAATCAGCCATTGGTATGCAAACAGTGGCCAGTTCTCTTCTTCCATTGTCTTTTGCTTTAATTTGTGGGATAAGAGAAATTCCATACATGTACTATCAAGTAATCTCATTCTGACTGAACTAATGATTAAAAATATCCTTTGAATCAGTGTTCTGTTGGGGTTTAGCATTGATGTTTTCCTCTCTCTTTCTTTCATGGGCTGAGCTTGGTCCTCCCAAATCCAAGTTGCAGGGTTCAGAGTACTAAATTAGTCGTGATTTTTTTGTTTTGTTTGTCATGTTAGCTACATAAAAACCTTATATTTAATTATGTTTAGACCATAGTGACTTCAAATATTACACATTCTTTCTGGATTGAAGCTTCTCATTTTGAGACCATTTTTTCATTACTTTTTCCAGCAGATACATAAAGCTGGCTTTTAGATAATACAGGTCCATACAACTTGGTAGGAACAACCTGTTTTTTTTAAGAGGCACTCTATACTTATAAAGACCCCTATGCTGCAAAGACTAACAAAATACCAAAATTTATTAAAGTAAAAATTACTTTGCGCAGGGTTGGGAGTAAACCAAACTATAAAGTGATCACAATTTCTAGTTCTACCTTTCATGTGCCAGTTTTATGTATTAGCTTTTGCTATTACTGTAAGAACTTGGATGTTTTTCCATGTTACTGTATCTTAAATAAGATTTCTTGTAGTTTTTTTTTTTTACTGTCTGCCTTTTCACAGAACAAGTTATTTGTTTTATATTAGATAAAATATCTAAATTATTATACAGAAATTTTTTTTTTTGTTTTTGAAACAGTCTCACTATCTAGGATGCTCTGGCTAATCTGGAACTCACTGTATAAACCAGTCTGGCCTCAAACTTAGGATCCATCTGTCTTGGCCTCCTAACAGCTGGGATTGGCCCACACTTGGTCAAAATGTATTTTGTAGAGGTCTGGGAAGGTGGCTCAGTGGTAGAGCGCTTGCCTTGCATGCATGAGGCCCTGGGTTCCATTCCTCAGCACCACATAAGCAAAAAAGAAAAAAAACCGGAAGTGGTGCTGTGGCTCAAGTGGTAGAGCGCTAGCCTTGAGCTGAAGAGCTGAGGGACAGCGCCCAGGCCCAGAGTTCAGGCCCCACGATCGGACCAAAAAACAAACAAAATGTATTTTGTAGAGTGTATTTCTCCAGTATTACTGTTGGACAAAATTAAAACTATTTAAGGGAGGATTTTTAAACCTAATTAAGGGAGGATTTTAAAGAAGAATTTACTTTCATTCTCTTTGCCAGGCTTTTTTAGGGTACATTTGTTACAGTCCACAGTTTCAGGTTGAATTTTATTTACTTTGACCACTGTACTAATAAGAGGCAGCCTTGTATTTGTGTAGGCTCTGTGTGTGAGCATAATGGACAGCATAAAAGTTTTGACTAAGAGGGATATTGGCAAAGATGTTTCCTGATTACTTAAGTATTACACAAAGACATTTCTGCTTTTTTTTCCCCCTATTTCCTTTCTTCCTACTATTAGAGCAGGTCATTTCATTTAAAAGCAGTGTACTTTTTCAATAATGGAAAAAGTATCTTTGCTTTTAAAAACTTCTCATAGTTAATAAAGTATATCAAGGAAACAAGTTGATTAAAAACTTGTTCAGTTTATCTTTTTAATATGTTTTTTCCTTCTACTTTTAGAACTTGAGTCTGTGGATGAAGGATTGTTCCAGTTTTGTGCCAATAAACTGAAATTACTACATCTTTATGAGTCTATCAGTCAATTAAATTCTCTTGATTTTCATTCAGATACACCATTCTCTGTTAATGTGAGTAATTCTATATGTTAAAATTATATCTATATAACCTATATAGTTATAATTATACAGATATAATTATATCTAGATATAATACTATATCTATATAATAGATCTAATTATATAGATATAATTTATAGATATAGATATATTTATGTTATATAATTATAATTATGTAATATAATTTATAATAATATATAATTATATAATATAATTATATTCTATACCTTAGAATCTTAGTAATCTCTTTGATTATTTTTAATCTTTAAAGTTTTTAGTAAACAAGTAGAAAATGTTTTTTTTCCTTGCAAAGATTACACATATACTTTTCAGGCCTCCTGATGGCTCTCTGTGCCTTGTTGCTATTTATATAAGATGATAAAATTTTATTTTTAATTCATCTTTCCTATTCTCGACTAATTTGTTTTTGTTTCTTTTTGTCTCTATTTTTTTTAAGGTGACTGAGTGTGTGTGTGTGTGTGTGTGTGTGAATACTGGAGTTGGAACTCAGGGCCTTGCACTTAGAAAGCAGGCACTTTACCACTTGGCCCATGCTCCCATCTCTTTTTTTGTTTTAGCTAATTTTTTTGGGGGGTGGGGGTCCAGTCGTGGGCCTGGGCGCTGTCCCTCAGCTCTTCAGCTCAAGGCTAGCGCTCTACCACTTGAGCCACAATGCCACTTCTGGCTTTTTTTCTTTTTGCTTATGTGGTGCTAAGGAATCGAACCAGGGCCTCAGGCATGCAAGGCGAGCGCTCTGCCACTGAGCCACCTTCCCAGCCCTGTTTTAGCTAATGTTTTTAGATAGTGTCTTGAGTTTTTTGCTAGATGACAGTCCTCCTAGTTAAGCCTCCTGTGTAGCTGGGACTACAGGTGAATCCCACCTCTCTCAGCTTGTTTGTTGAGATGGGTTCTTACTGCTTGGGCTATCCTCAAACCACAATCCTTCAGCTCACTGCCTCCAAAGAGGCTGGGATTACAGCTGTGTACCACCAGGCCCCGCCCTTTAAGGTGATATTTTTGAATTTTTTGAAATTGAAAACGTTTCCAGTGAAAACATATCCAGTTTAATGGTATAACAGAACTATAATTTTTTTTTTGCGGGGGGGGGGGTTCCGGTTGTGGGCCTGAACTCTGGGCCTGGGCGCTGTCCCTCAGCTCTTCATCTCAAGGCTAGTGCTCTACCACTTGAGCCGCAGCACCACTTCCAGCTTTTCTTTTTGCTTATGTGGTGCTGAGGAATCGAACCCAGGGCATCATGCATGCAAGGCAAGTGTTCTACCACTAAGCCACCTTCTCAGCCCCCAAGAACTATAATTCTATAAGAAGTCAATTTTTCTATTATTGTAGCCAACTAGTGCAGTTCAGTCTTTTGTATACTATATAATGAAGTACAAACGCATCAAAGAGTTTAATTCTCACATGTCTGCTTTATTATATGAAATAAATATGAAATATAAAATAGTGATAGCTACTTGTAGTTTTTATCATAGTGCAACTTAGTGAGAATTTATACAGAATTCTTACTCTTCCATACAGAGAACTTGTTCTTAATGAAGAATAGAGTAAATGGTAACCTGTCACCCCAGATGATCGTGTTCTGCTGGGCAGAATTTATACAGAATTCTTACTTTTCCATGCAGAGAACTTGCTCTTAATGAAGAACAGAGTAAATGTAGCCTGTCTCATCATGTTCTGCTGGGCAGGTTGCCAGGCTCAAGGCCTTGTGCCTTTTCTACTTATCCAAGCAAGAATTGTTAAAATGATTTTAGTGATTAGTCTTACAATGTTTTGCTTACAATGTTTGCTAAAGAATTATCTGATACATTTAAAAGTTAATTGAAGTTTAATGTCGACTTTTTAGTTTAAAAATACATACATAGAAGCCAGGCATTGGCAGGAAAGTCTGTGAGACTCTATCTCCAGTGCCATCAAAAGCTGGAAATGGAGCTGCAGTTCCATGTGGTAGAGTGCTTGCTTTGCTCACAAAAACTCAGGGACAGTGTCCAAGTCCTTAATTCAAGCCTTGGGACTGGCACAGAAAAAAGACAACCAAACAAAAACATACAAATACAGTTTTTTAAAACAGAAAAATGAGAGATTTTTCTCCTTGGAATTAACCTCAGATGGATTTCATGTAATGATTTGGCAATAGTGCATTCATATTAGTATTCTGTCATTGCCATTACAAATAATAATGACTGTTTTCCATGATCTTTTTCTCTCCTCTGTAGTGTAAATTTAAGCTACAGGAAGGAAGGTTCAAGTTGTTTAAGCAATGTCTACAAGATATCATGGGTTTTTTAATGATTAATCATAAGATACACATTCTCTTGCATATGTACTAGCAGAATGAAGTTAAGTGGTCAAGTATAATAGTTCTAGACCATTTAGTTAGGATGAACACTTTAGGCCAGACTGGGTAACACAATAAGCCTCCATCTTGAGAAAACAGAAAACAAAACCACTACAACAAATAAAATTAAATGTATATATTGATAACCCTCAGTGGAACTAACTTCTACTTGGCTAATTCAATATATAGACTATTTCAGAGTCACATTTCCACAACAGGCCCCATAGAATGTAGAGATACATTTGGCATATTGTTACTTGTTATTTTTAAAGCACTCTTTCAGAATTAAAATAAGACTTCCTATAGAAATCTTTGTTTAGGTCCTTCAAAAACAGATAACCAGTTTCTAGGCTGGTTATAGGACATAGGACTTAGAAAACTCATATGTAAATTTAGTATATTGAACTACTGGTATTCATTTGAGAGTTTATGGCTTGTACTTAAAAACAATAGCCTATATAAGTAAATCAAAGGAACTTCTCTTATTTAAGGATGTGGCTTTATAGCCAGGTGTGTCACACACCTGGTCCCCAGTTCTTGGGAGAATGAGGCACAAGGATGGAGAGTTCAAACCCGCCTGGGCTACATGACAAGACCCAAAGATTGCTTTATGTTGCATACAGAAAAGATTTGCTTGATGAACTTCAGTGGTTTCCACAAAAATGATAGTAATCTCAGGAACTGTTTCAATGCATACGGTACATACAAATAGGTAGTTTACTCTTTTGGAAGTGTTTGCATGGAGACAGCTTCACAGAGGATATGTGTCACACCTTAGAGTCTGCTGGCATTGGCCCTCAGCTGTCGTGGTAAGGGTTTTGTGCTGGGTGCTGTCCTTCCTTACAAATGTTATTCAGAGGGCTGGGAAGGTAGCTTAGTGGTAGAGTGCTTGCCTAGCATGCACTAGTTTGACTACTACATACAATGACTACTAGTTAGGTTGGCATGTTTTATCTGTGACTTTTAAATCAATTGGATCCCTGAGAGCCACCTAGAGGACTTACGTGAATATTATTTTCCCATAGTTTTTATTTTATACTGTCTATCTTGTTTAATATATAAAACTTTTAATTTCAAGTTGTTCTTGTTTTCTCAGAATGACAAGTTACAACTGATATCCCTTAGAGTTTCTCTTTTTCTAGATGCCTGGTAATACATGTTTAATAAAAGAGTCGCCTTTTGCTTGCAGCCTTAAGTTTCAGTTCAAATAATGGGGCTTATCGAAAGAGATACAGTCTTCTGAGAACTTATATTCCTTTATTTTTAAGGACTTGGCTGTGTTGCTAAGGCTCGATGAAAGAGAACTACATAAGCTCCAGACACTGTTAGATAAATACAAGCAAGAGAACACCAGAGCTTCTGTCCGATTTTCTGATGACAAGGATGGTGTGTTGCCTGTAAAGACATTCCTTGAGTATTTAGAATATGAGAAGGATGTGCTCAATATAAAGAAGATCAGTGAGGAGGAATATGTGGCTTTAGGTAGGTGAAGTGATAAACCCCTCTTACCTCTTCCCTTCTTCTAGAAGATAGTCTAGGAACATACAACATCTCAAAGACTTTTTTTTTTCTAAAAAAAAGTAATTAACCAGAGAATTTAATGTATAATTTGGTTAGCAGAAGCGGAACATATGCACATTGTGTCATGCCAGTGGAATTACTGAATGTACTGAAGAGATACTGTCAGGCGTGTAATGATTTGTTTTCTGACTTAATAAATAAAAAACAATTCATCTTTTCTCGTGCTAGAATTCTAGATTGCAGTTCAGGAACAGTATTTGTCCAGATGGTAATTTGTCATTGAGTAATGTGTTTCATTTTCATTTCACTAGGTAGTTTCTTCTTTTGGAAGTGTTTGCATGGAGAAAGCTCCACAGAGGATATGTGTCACACCTTAGAGTCTGCTGGCCTTAGCCCTCAGCAGTTGTTGGTAAGGGTTTGGGGCTGGGTGCTGTCCTTCCTTACAAATGTTATTCAGAGGGCTGGGAAGGTAGCTTAGTGACAGTGTGCTTGCCTAGCATGCATGAAGCCCTGAGTTCGATTCTTCAGTACCACATAAACAGAAAAAGTTGGAAGTGGCACTGTGGCTCAAGTGGTAGAGTGCTAGCCTTGAGCGAAAACAAGCTCAGGGACAGAGTTCAAGCCCTAGGACTAGCAAAAAACAAAAACAAAAAAATAAATAAAAAACAAAAAACGTTATGCAGGAGAGTTTAATGTTTGCTCTTTAGCCTGCCATAGAACATACATGGAAGTCTTCTAAAAATGATTCAAGAAACTTGTAATCACCATATTTAATGTAAGATTATTGTATCTTTGTTTGCTACCTGTGTACTTTTTTCTTTATTTTTTTTGATACAAGTTTTGCTCAGTGTAGCTTAGATTGATCTTGAATTGCAATCCTGCCTTATCCTCCCAAATGTTGGGATTATAGCTGTGTACCGCCATGCCAGTTTTTTGTTTCGTTTTTGTTCCTCCTCCTCCTCCTCCTCCCCCCCACCCCCCTCCTCCTCCTCCTTCTTCTTTTCCTTCTTCCTTCTTTCTTCTTTGCTAAGCACCAAACTCCGGGCTTTGCAGTTGCCAGGCAAGTGCTGTTTCACTGAGCTAAATCCCCAACCCCACATAATTTGTGGTTGGCTTATAATAAAGTTAAAATCTGCCAGGTATGAATGTATTCACAGTGTACTCTGAACATCAGTAAAAGTTGGTGTTGTGGAACTAAAAAAGTATGCTAGGGATGTAGCCCAGGGATATAACCCAAGGCATACTATAAATAAGGCTCTGCATTCCATCCCTAGTATTTCAAAAAAGTATTTTTTAATAAAAAAGAAAACTAAGCTAAAAAAGATTCTATTATTTTCAAACTCTGATTATATCTTAAAGGTATACATCTTCATGATATAACAAACGTAAGATAAAAGAATTATACAGCTAGGCATGGTGGTAACGTGCTAGTGATTTCAACAGTTACGATGAAGAGGCAAGAGAATTGTGAGTTCCAGGGCTGTCTGTATTACTTAGCAAGACCCTGTCTCAAAAGAAAAGAACTATCCAGTGGAAAAATTGCAGGACTAAAATTTTCCTTTTCTGAAAAGAGTAAGGGAAGTTACCTTCATCATGAGCTCTCTCTGACCTGCCCCGCACAATGTAAACTTAAATAGGAAACACTGGTTCAAATACATCTTAAAAGTTATACCTGTTGCCTTACTTGATTTTTTTTCTTTTTTTTTTGTCTTCTGTCGGTCATGGGGCTTGAACTCTGGGCCTGGGCGCTGTCCCTCAGCTCTTCAGCTCAAGGCTAGCACGAGCTACAGTGCCACTTCCTGTTTTCTGAGTGTTTATTGGAGATAAGAGTTTCACAGACTTTCCTGCCCGGGCTGGCTTTGAACGGCGATCCTCAGATCTCAGCCTCCTGAGTAGCTAGGATTACAGGCATGAGCCACCAGCCTCGGCGCCTTACTTGATTTTTGTGTGAAATGTATTTCATAACTTACTATTGCTTTTAAAATGGGAGTTTGCTAGTTTTCTATGTTTGTTCCTTGCGATCATATCCCCAGCATGTATATGGGCAGGGCAAGGCAAGATCAACAGCTCCAGGTCCTCCCTGTCTTCTGTAGAAATCTACAAGCCGAGTGGCATCTCAGTGATCCACAGGGAATCCACTCACCAGCAATGTCCTTTCTAGTAACATGCTTCTTAATAGTGCATAAGCTAAAGGAGAGATAGCAACATGATGCAGAATCTCTTGGGTAGTAGACAGATAGAGAGCCTTGGTCTGACCCTGACACTGCCTGTGTATAGACCCAATACCGACTGCCATGTCTTTATGTATGTGACAGTGTGAGATCTTGTCTGCGTTAACTATTGTTTTTGACTGAACAAGATTTTTAATTTGATTTCAGTCCTTGCTCCTGAGTGTGTGGCTTTCCAAGGAGAAAGATATTCTGGATAAACCCCGGTCTGTCTGCTGTCTTCATACAATGCTGTCCCTCCTGAGCAAGATGAAAGGTAGGATGCTGCTGCACCTGTAAGTCAGTTCTCTCAGAATCTGAGCTACTGTTCCTGGAAATACCACAATTGAACAAGGAAGGAGAAGAGTTTCTTTTAACAAAAGAATAATACAGTATCAAAACATTTCACCGTAAAGCCCAGTGACCGTGGCTTACAACTGTAATCCTGGCTACTAAGGAGGCTGAGATCTGAAGATCTCGGTTCAATGCCAGCCCAGGGAGGAAAGTCCATGAGACTTTTATCTCTGAATAGTGAGCAAAAGCTGGAAGTGGAGCTGTGGCTCAAGTGGTAGAGTACTAGCTTTGAGCAAAAAAAGCTCAGGGACAACATATCAAGGTGTTGAGTTCAAGTTCCAGGACCAACACACATACACAAAACTTCACTGTAGAGATTTTTAAAAAATAGATTTAATAGGGAGATGGTAGTGCATAAAGTATTTAATTATGAAAATTAGCTTGTCCTTATAAGATATAATATAAACAATATGTTTTCTTACTTTAGTAAGGCAAACTTAGTGGTCCTCAGTAGAGAAAATACTTGGACTTGTCAGAATAATAATCTATTAAATAACAATAATCTATTAAAATGTTCAATAATAGTTTTGTAATAATGAAAATAGGGATTTAGCACTGATTCAGAAACATGATGGCTTTTCAGAAATTGGGTATAAATGTTCCGAATACAATAAATTGCACGATTTATTTTCCATTATGTTCAAAAACAGCAGGTATATCTTTGGGGAATTTAGTTTGAAATATGAAAAGTGAGACAAGCTTAAAAAAAAAAAATTGGCAAGGTAAGATTTTACTTTCTATTTCCCTCCCCGCCCCCTAGTGGCCATTGATGACACCTGGGATTCCCAGTCTGTGTCCCCTTGGTGGCAGCAGATGCGCGTGGCCTGTGTTCAATCTGAGAACAATGGAGCTGCTCTGCTGTCTGCTCATGTTGGGCATTCTGTGGCTGCGCAGATATCAAACAACATAATAGAGAAAAAAGTAAGTGGGCAAAGTTTGGCTTTGCTCCATTCCTATCCAATCAGCTAAAGGGATGCTTTTCCTCTCCTTTGAAATGTGTGCCCAGCAGATTCTTACTTGTTTGGAGTATTTTGAGGGGGAGAAGGTGGTGTTGGTTTTTGAATCCCTTAGCTTCAATTTCCTCATCTAAAAGAGGTCAAGGTTTGGTTCTGTCGCTTCTCAGGTTTATTCTAAAGTATTCTGTTTGTCTTCACTCTTCCACCTCTTACACACTTCACAGTGAATGATGACTCAAGTAGGAATTTTCTATTTACCTTTGGCTCGGGTGGAGGTGGGCAGGCGGGGGAGGGGCTTCTCATCTTTTGAGGACTTAAATTTCTGTTACACAAACACTGATCTAACACATTTTATATTTCATAATGAATCGACAGGGTTTTGTTTGTTGTTTTCCTAGAGTGGTGTTACATTGATGTGGAGAGACACCTAAATAGGACTGTGGAGACTCACTTCATACTGTCAATCTTTCAGTTTGGGGCTAAATTTAATATTGCAGCTTGACATGTTTTATAATGATGAAAGAAAGAAATTCCAGATAGATTTCTTAAGTTGGTCAATGCATTCTGAAGAAATGTCAACATCCTGATTGGGAGTGATAGAAAGAGCAGACCTAGCCTAGGCATCAGTGGCTCACGCCTGTAATCCTAACTAGCCTGTAATCCTAACTACTCGAGAGACTGAGATCTGAGATCTCAGTTCTAAGCCAGCCCAGGCAGGGAAGTCTGTGAGACTCCTATCTCTAATAAACTACTCAGAAAAAAAAACAAAAAAACCCCAGAAAGTTGCACTGTGGCTCAAGTGGTAGAGTGCTAGCCTTTAGCACAAAGAGGCTCAAGGATAGTGCCCAGGCCCTACCTAGTTCAAGCCCCAAGACCAGCAAAGAAAAAAAGAAAAAAGAAAATGCTGACCTTTGCTAAAGAAGTCCCAGAAAACTTGGTGGTTGAACTGGGTCATTATTACTGGACCCCTTGTAAATGTCCCTCCTCTCATTCAGTGAGGCAGAACAGCCTTTGTGTGTTGCCTAATTATGTACCTTAATTGGCCATGCTTTCTCCCTAAAAGCAGAGAATCACCTGGACATTTTCTGTTAGTTTTCCCAAACAGCTTTGGGTGCTGATGCTGAGGCCCTCACTGATTCCTGGGAGGCTCTTTCTCTTGACACTGAATACTGGAAACTTCTGCTGAAACAGCTGGAGGACTGTCTGCTACTTCAGACTCTGCTTCACACCAAGGGCAGCACTCGAACCTCCAAAGTGTCATCGCTGCAAGCAGAGCCACTTCCCAGGCTCTCGGTTAAAAAACTGCTAGAAGGAGGAAAAGGTAAGCAGAGGTTTATTTCAGCATTTGCCCCTGAATCTTTTTGTTCTTGATCTCCACAAATCTTTATTTCTCTTTCTTTTTTTTGTAATCTTTCTTATTTTCTTATTTTCTTTTTGCCACATACTAACCAGATAATGGATGGTGTATAGTGTGACATTTTAATATATGTATGCAGCCTGCCGTGAACAGATCCAGGTGATTGGCATTTCTTTATGTTAGGGACAGTCAAAAGTCCTCTGTTCTTGATATTTTAAAATATAGTTGTTGTGACGTGACTGTGTGTAGAACAGTAGAGGTTATTCCTCCTATCCTGTGGACCCCTTCTACCCATCCTCCATTCCCCCCACCCCAACACTCACACATCCCAGCCTTTGCTGACGGCTCTCATACGCTGCTTCTGTCTGTAAGATCACCTTTGTAGCTTCCTGTGTAAGTGAGGACACAAGGTTTTTGTCTTCTTCTCTTCTACCCTGGCAGAGACATTATTATTCCTGTGGTTAGATCATGTAGGATCATAAGCATCATTCAGTTCTGATCTTCTTTGGGTGCTTACTTTTCTTACCAGAAGCTCTGTTAGCTATTTGGTACCAGGATGCCTACATTTCTAGCTTTATTAAATACCCAGGTATTTCTAAATCTTTATTTTATTAACTTGTTTTCTCATTATGTTTCTTTTTAAATAGAAGTTCAAAGTACGCATTTCAAATTGCACCTGCTAAGGTCCAGTTATGCTTTAAACTTCCAACTCTTCCAATTCAGAAGTAGACTAAGCATGTGTGTCTTTTCTGTCCATTCTGAGACTATTTTTGTCTTAGTGTTACGTTGTTATAATCACCTATTTTATACAGAAAAGGCAAAGTACTTTATAAAGAAAAGAGCTGTATTTTGGTTATGGTCCTGGAGGTACAGTCTATGAACTACATGGCAGAGTACCAGAGGTGTGATGATGAGAATGCATGTGTGTATGTGTCTTGTTTTCTCCCCCCCTCCTTTTTTTTTTTTTTTTTTTGAGTATTGGGGCTTAACAGGGTCTTGAGCTTGGTAGGCAGGTGCTCTGCCAGGCCCCCAGTCCTTGTTTCCTCATTTGTTTTTAGACTTGTGATAATTTTTTTCTCTTTTGAATAGCACTAGGGTTTGACGCAGGGCTTGAGCTTGTCAGGCTTTGTACTTTACCCTTGAGCCCTGCTTCCCATCCTGTTTTTTTGTTGCATATTTTTAGAAAAGGCTCTAGCTTTCCTCCTGGGCCCACACTTGAACATGATCTGCCTGTTTTAGGCTTTCTGTCATAGCTAACAGTTGTACACTACCATGTGTGCAACTTCCTTCCATGAACATGGATTCATGCACACTACCTCCCCACTCCTCTCTCCTACCCCCTTCCCCTCCCCTCCCCCCCCTCCGCCCCAGCCTGGTACTGTGATCCTCCTGATCTCACCCTCCTGTAAGGCTAGCACGGGCAGGGTCAGGAGCCTGCTGGGTATGAGCCACTGTTGCTAGTGTGGCAGTTTAGTTGTAAGCTCATTATACTTAGGTGCCATCTATTGAAAGCATAGGAACACCATTTTATAACTAATGTAAAAAAATAATCAAAGGTTTAATTCTAGAATACAAATTGTCAAGTAATTTAGAAGCCCAGCATGAGAAATTAAATTACCCAGCATACTACTTCAATTTATCTGATATCTTTGAGTTTTCTGTAAAGCACTCTTTATGGAAAGGTTTTAGGTTTTTGTCTTTGTTGTTGTTTGGGGGTAATTTTTGTTTCAGTGTGTGTGTGTGTGTGTGTGTGTATGCGTGTATGCGCACATGCGCGCCCGTGCACGTGTGTATGTGCACGCACACACATATGCATGCGCACGCACTACTCTTGAGGTTTGAACTCAGGGCATAAGCACTATCCCTGAACTTTTGTGCTCAAGACTAACCCTCCACCACTTGAGCTGTAGCTCCACTTCCGGCTCTTTGCTGGTTAATTGGAGAATCTCACGGACTTTTCTACCTGGGCTGTCTTTAAACTGTGATCCTCAGATCTCAGCCTCCTGAATAGCTAGGATTACAGGCATGAGCCACATATGCCTGGCAGATTTATTTATTTATTTAGTGATGTTGAAGATCAAACTCAGAGGCTTGAAGAACTAATAAGCAAGCACTTTACTACTCCAGGAGGGAAGCTGTATGTGGTGGTATACGCCTAGAGTCCCAGCTACTTGGGAGACTGTGGTGGGAGAGAAGTTCACGGGAATCATAGCAAGACCCTTTTTCTTTCTTTTTTTTGGGGGGGGTCCAGTCGTGGGGCCTGAACTCTGGGCCTGGGCACTGTCCCTCAGCTCTTCAGCTTAAGGCTAACGCTCTACCACTTGAGCCACAGTGCCACTTCCGGCTTTTTTTTTTGGCTTATGTGGTGCTAAGGAATCAAACCCAGGGCCTCATGCATGCACGGCAAGCGCTCTACCACTGAGCCAACTTCCCAGCCCCATGATCCTTTTTCATAATGGGGATGTGGAGTTTTTGAATGTTCTTAATGTTTAACTTGCTTCAGGTAGAAAATAGGGCTTCATGCCTCTTGTATGTTTGTCAGCTTGCGTCTACAATTATTTTTACTTTATTGATGGCTGAAACATTATTGATTAGTTGTGGCTAAATTTTTCTCAATATTTTATATAGGCAAGTTAGGGTCTAGTAAAAATACTATTAGAAACAGGACATAATGTCACATGCATGTGTCACTCAAGAGGCTGTGCTAAGAGGAATGAAAGTTCAAGGTAGCCTGAGCAACAGTAAAATCTTGTCTCAAAAGATAGAAAGCTGTATTGTTTTAGGGAGACAAGTGTCATGCTAATTAATATTAATCTGTTTTCTCTTATAATGAAAGTGAACGTTTTAAAAACATAGTCATTCTTTCATCTGTGTCTGGTAAGGTAAATTTTCTATTCCACAGACATGGGTAGTGTCTGGTTTGTGGTGTAGGAATGAATTTATGTACATTGTATTTGCCTAATACTTGTTTTTTTGTTGTTGTTGGTCATTGGGCTTGAATTCTGGGCCTGGACACTGTCCCTCAGCTCTTCAGCTTAAGGCTAGCACTCTACCACTTGAGCCACAGCGCTGCTTCTGGCTTTTTCTGCTTATGTGGTGCTGTGGAATCGAACCCAGAGCCTCATGCATGTGAGGAAAGCACTCTGCCACTGAGCCACCTTCCCAGCCCCTTGCCTAGTACTTTCTGAGAGTGATAGGTAGTGATGCTGCTATAACTTCTATGCCTCAAAACTGCATGTGGTACTTAGGCTTCTTCCAAAGCAAGTGCTTATTATGCACTGTTTTGGCTCTGTTTACCATGCACCGGGGTTCATGTTCCACAAGTTTTCATTTTCTTTTTTGTTCTCCACCTGTAGGTGGCATTGCAGACAGTGTGGCCAAGTGGGTATTTAAACAGGACCTCAGCCCCGAACTGTTAAAACTGGCTAATAAAGAAGAAGATGTTGAAAATCCAGATGAACATGAAGAAGGAATTAACAAACGTCTCCTAGATATGTCGGAGGAGGGGACAGACTTAGGAGCCATACCAGGTGATACACAAATAATGGCAATTATGATGCCCAGAGTGGAGAGAAGTATGGACTCTTCATTGGGAAAGAATAACATGACCCTTTCTTCTGACTTTCAGACTTGCTGCATTTAGCCTATGAGCAGTTTCCTTGTAGCCTAGAGCTCGATGTGCTGCATGCACACTGCTGCTGGGAGTATGTTGTTCAGTGGAATAAAGATCCAGAGGTAAGATCCCCATTACCAATTCATGCTGATCTGTTTTGCTCTCTGCTCCTGCTGTGTGCTTATGGGACTGTTAAGCAACATACTGTAAACACTGGTTTTCCCTATTATGGCATCTCTGTATAGTAACTGTACTCAGCCCTTTTCATAAGTTACCTTTTTTAGTGGTCACTGTATACCTGTGAAGAGTGGGCATTGTCATTATCCTCACTCCAGAAAAGTAGGGCACAAAGAAGTTACATCTGCTAAATGTACACCAATAAATAAACATCATAATTTAAAACTAATGTGCTCAACTCCCCACTGAATTATGCCAAGTACCTTTTTTAACTTTTGGAATTTCTGTGTGAGATGTCATCTACCTAATAAAATATTCTTAGGATAATCATCTTGACAAAAGTGGAAGATCCTGATGCCTGCCAGCGAATTGGTTGTTCAGATTCTGTGTCTCAGTAGAACAGTAGAAAGAGCCAGATGCACATGGTTGACTTCCTGTCTACTGTTGGCCTTGTTTTCCTTTCAACTCTGCTGCCCAGCCCTTGTTTTCCTCTACTTTCTGTAGCCATGTTTCTTCCTGGGCATTCAGGGTTTCAAAGCCACACTGGAAGGAGGACCCAAGCTTGGGTTTGGATCCCATCTCACCACTCAATTTGTGACCTACTTTTTGTCTTAACACCTTAGCCCCTTCATAAAGGAGCCTGTCCTTCCGGGCCAACACCAGGATTGTTCTTTGCTAGTCTGCCCCTTACCTAGACTCCCCTAGTGTTCTGGTAAATTACATCTCTCAAATGAAATTTTTTTCTATATTTTCTGTACATTACATTCTCATAAAAGAAAATCTCAAAATTTACTTTTTGGGGGTTGGGGGGTGATCCTGGGGCTTAAACTGAGGGCCTGGGTGCTATCCCTGAACATTTCTGCTCAATGCCAGAACTCTACTTAAGCTTGGTGGTGTTAACTGAAGATCAGAATCTCACAGATGTTCCTGTGTGGGCTTGCTTTGAACTGCAATCTTCAGATCTCAGCCTGCTGAGTAGCCAAGATTACAGGCTTAAGCCACTGGAGACTGTCTTAAGATCTCTACTTTTTAAATGGCACAATTTTTTTTTTTTTTTTGCTGTCCTGGGAGCTGAACTCTGGGCCTGGGTGCTGTCCCTCAGCTCTTCAGCTCAAGGCTAGTGCCTTACCACTTGAACCACAGTGCCATTTCTGGCTTTTTTCTGCTTATGTGGTGCTGAGGACTTGAACGCAGAGTCTCATGCATGCAAGGCAAGCACTCTACCACTGAGCCAACTTCCCAGCCCCAAATGGCACATTTTTCTAGTCTACGGAAAAAGGAATGTTAGAGCCAGAGGATACAATAATTTTTAAAATCTGAATGAATCAGTTCAAGAATAAGAAGGTAACAGTTAACAGACTAGAGGCATGGCCCAAGTGGTAGAGAGTCAGCCAAGGAAGCAAGCTGAGCAAGTACAGGGTGCTGAGTAAAAACTCCCATATTGGCAGAGAGAGAGGGGGCAGGGAGGAGAGATGGACCGACAGACTGACCAGAAGATACTCCAGGCTCTGTGAGTAAATACCTATAGTCCCATATACTCTGGAGGCTGAGGCAGTATGATCACTTGGCCCAGGAGTTTGAGGCCAGCCTGAGCCACATAGCAAGATCTGTGTTGAAAAAAAAAAAGAAGGAAGCCAGGTGCTGGTGGCTCATGCCTGTAATCTTAGCTACTCAGGAGTCTGAGATGTGAGGATCATGTTTCAAAGCCAGCCCTGTCAGGAAAGTCTGTGAGACTCTTTATCTCCAGTAAAACACTAGAAAACTGGAAGTGGCCATGTGGCTCAAGCGGTAGAGTGCTGGCCTTGAGCTGAGGAGCCACAGGGACAGTGCCCAGGCCCAGAGTTTAAGCCCCATGACCGACCGAAAAAAAAAAAAAGGAAAACAAAGAAAACCCAAGAGCATGTGGCTCATGAACCAGAGGTTGTTTGCGTAATAGACACAGTTGCCAGTTTTGCTCAATGCTAGCGCTCTTCCTCTTGATCCACAGCTCCACTTCTGGCTTTATTTTGGTTATTAACTTGAGATATGAGTCTTGTAAGCTTTCCTGCTTAGGCTGGCTTCGAACCCCAATCCTCAGATCTCAGCCTCCTGAGTAGCTAGAATTATAGGCATGAGCCACTGGTGCCTGGCTTATATCTAATCATTTTAACACACCACATGTGACCTTTGGAAATGTCTCTGAACCCTTTATTTCAAATTCTTCTGAAACGAAGGCTATCATTGGTCATCACCCAAGTTTATAGTAGTTTATAGATTAATATTTGTGCATGATGCCTGGTATTTACATTACTGTAATCATTGTTGGAAGAATTGCTTATATTATCCTATTAATTTTTAATCTTCTGGCACCATTCAACCCCTGTGCCAGCCTATTTCATAATACTACTTTAGTAGGCTTAAAACAATTGATTACCTTTGGGAATTACCAATTTCCACCAGCATGTTTGTTGGCAGTGGTAAATTATTTAGCAAAAAAGTGGATTATCATTGTATTTGGGTTTTAATAGATAAACTGATTCTTAAAGAGAACTTAAGACATCCCTCTGATAGTTCATATTTTCCTACTGTTCTAAGTTTTCTCCATAGCATTTAATAGTAACACACTTCATAGTGTGCTCACATGGCATGTTAAGGCTGCCTCTGAGCTCATTAGTACATATATTTATCCTTGATGCTTCAAAGTTTGGTGCATAGTGGCTGCTCAGTAAATCTTGTTGAATGATGAATGGAGGTATTTCATTTATAAGAATAAACTCATTGTTTTCACATCTGTGTGAAATTGAAGAATTCACTGGAAAACTTGTGTGGTGGTATACAAAAACACAGTGAGATTGAATCTTCATTCCAGCATGTATGACCTGGGAGATTCGAGGAATTAATCATGTTGTTTAATCACAAGCTACTTCGTACCTAAGTAATCCCATAGTTTTCTGTTTATGTAATTGCTTGGTTGGTTGGTTTTTGAGTCAGGATCTTGCTATGTAGCCTAAGCTGGCCTGTTAATTGCTGTGTAGAAATACCTAGCCTTGAATGTGTTACACTCCCACCTCTACCTAATTAACGTGTTTTTATTGTAACATTATTAAATAGCTTTATGCAGAAATTTGTGTAAGAAGTCTCTCCCTTTGGTATTTAAAGCACTTCTTAAATAACCTTTTTTTCCCTCTCTTTTCTTCTATTCATAAGGAAGCACGTTATTTTGTCAGGTCAATAGAACACTTGAAGCACATTCTTAATGCACATGTTCAGAATGGTAAGTAAATAGTTGCCCCAAACAATAACTGGGTATGATGACTCAAGCCTGTAATCCCTGCTACTGGGAAGGCAGAGATTGAGGGAGTGGCTCTAGGCCAGCCCTACCTAGATGTTTGTGAGACTCTCATCTCAACTAGTGGGTATGTGGGGCGGGGTGGTAGGTGCACCTATCATCCTAGTTACAAGAGGTGGGCGGGGAGCAGAGCCGGCTATTCCAGGCATACACACAGCAAGACTCTACCACAAAACTGACTATTCCTGCCTAACAAACACAAGACACTTGAGTTCAATCTCTACGACCAGCACTGAAGTCCAAAATGTCATCGATTGGGTGGAATGGCTCAAGAGTGCTTATTTATCAAGTACAAGACCTTCAGAGTTCAGATTCCAGTATTGAAAAAAAAAATTGATTCAAAAGAGAACATCTGCTTTAACAGGATATGAGGTTTCACATATTTATCCTCATAATTTTTATTTGCTCACCCTACCATCTAGGTGTTTTGCCATATGCAAAGTACTGCCGTTTTAACTACTTGCAAAAATGTTCTTCTGAAGGGGAAAGGGCACTAGTGGTAATTTCATCTGTATCCCAAGTTGAAATGTTAGGTTTATGCTACCTAATATGGTTGGCTCTTATAATTTTAATGGCACAGTTTAGTGAATATATAAATAGAAAGCTTGGAACTTTGCTTGAGATTTAAGTAATTTTTATATCTTAATTTATTAATTTATGAATCAAGCTGGTCTCAAATGTTTAGTCTTCTCCATATCTCTTGTTACTCATTTCTTATGAGTAGAATTTCTAGGTGATTGGGTAGACATGTGGCTTTAGTAGATCCTGTCAAGTAGTTTTCCAAGTGATTTTGTCAACTTACCCTACCTGTAGTTTATTCTCCATTTGTTTCACATAATCACCAGCATTTGGTGTTATCATTTAAAATGTTTGGCTCAGTGGTGGAGCCTTGCTTAATATATACACTGGGCGTGATCCCCAGCTTTGCAAAAACAGACAAATAGACAGGTAGACAGACAAAGCCTTGCTGGTGGTTATGTGATACTGTGATTTTTCTTTTTTTCTTGTCACTCATGGTGTGTAAGTCATTTATTATCCATACTTGCCATTTTGATATACTCTTCCACAGCCTAGTTTTGATTTTCATTAGAGTTTGAAACTGATTAAGTACTTTAAAAAATGAATACCAAGCAGCAGCAACATGTTTAGGGGGAAGGACAGCAAGGGGTACACAGATGGAGAGTAAATGCAGCATTATAATTCACTGTATATCATATAAAAACTGAACTATGTTACTTGAGGGTGGGGTGGGGTTGTATTGATCAGGACAATATCACCAGTTGGGTTATTGTATTCATAACCCGACATATGGAATTACAGCCGCTGTACAACCACTTAACATGATTTTTTTTAAGATGAAGGGCTCATTAACTTCCTAAATACTGTATAAGATATAGGAAATGATAGTAGTTCAGTTAGCTTAGGAAGTAATTTGTCTAGTATGATGCAGTGACACTATGTAAGCCTTCTGTTTCCCACTTGGCTTTCACCCTGCCTTCTAGGCATTGCGCTGATGATGTGGAATACGTTCTTGGTTAAAAGGTTTTCTGCTGCTACATACTTGATGGATAAGGTAAGGTAGTTTTGAATTGTATGTTGTTTCTTACTCATTAGTTCCCTTAATTTAATTGACTGGTATAAGATCATTAACACTGAGCCTTGTTGACCTTTTTATTTTTGGTCAATCTTGGGGCTTGAACCTCAGGGACTGGGCGCTGTCCCTGAGCTCATTTAGCTCAGGGCTATAGTGCTCTACCACTTTGGGCTACTGTACCACTTGAGGTTTTCTGGTGGTTAAATGGAGATAAGAGTCTCTCGGGTTTCCTGCCTTGGCTAGCTTTGAACCACGATCCTCAGATCTCAGTCTCCCTGAGTAGCTAGGATTACAGGCATGAGCCTCTAGCCCCCAGCTTGAACTAGTTTTGGGGTTATTTTGGTTTGTTTGTTTTTTGTTTTGGCTTTTCAGTTCATTCATGCTATGTTAAATGTAATTTCCAGTACTGGCATTTTAATGTCCTGAGGAAGATCCCTAACCAGAGCATAGTAAATGTCTCGTCCAAAGACATTGGCAAAAGACATGATAGCTGATAAATTCAAATAAGGAATTACATTTTACTTTAAACTCACACATATGACTATACATGCTTAATTTACCAATCTCTGCATTTATACCCAAGATACTTTCTTGGAATAGAGTTGGCTAGAGTATTAGTTTGGCTTTCTTGAATAAACCTCATTCATAATAAATTGTCCTTATCTAGATCCTGTTTCTTTGAAGCTTTTGCTAAATGTAAAATCTTAAAATTTTCTGTCCCTAACAGTATATGTTTTCCAACAGCCCTAGAAAGTTATTTATTCTTCTCTACAAATTGTTTTAAAGTATTCAACATAGCCTTAATATAAACAGCTCCATTTTTCCTCATTCATATCTCATTAAGTCACATAATAACAATAACTATGCAGGCACATGAGTAGATTGGGAATAACATGTGAACATAGAATTCAATTACTAGGATGAGAATCTGTTTGCCTACTGGGATATCTGTCCAGCATCAAGCTGCGTAGCCAGAGAGACCAGTTAGTTAGTACTTTTTACAGACTAGTCAAGATAGTAGACTAATCTGGCATCAGTTAAGTGAATCAAGAGAATTGCCAGTATACCAACCACTCTGATGTCATGTTTAGCATCACAACTCAGACGCCTTTGGTTGGGTCACTGCTTCCCTTGAAAATGCTTTGTATGCCAGCACCTTGTGGCTCATGTCTGTAATCTTATCTACTCAGGAGGCTAGGATTTGAGGATCATGGTTCGAAGCCAGCCTAGTCAGGAAAGTCCAATTAACTACCAGAAAACTGGAAGTGGCACTGTGGCTCAAAGTGGTAGAGTGCTAGCCTTGAGCAAAAAGAGCTCAAGGACAGCGCCCAGGCCCTGAGTTCAAGCCCAAAGACCAAAAATAATTGCTTTGTGTGATGGCATTGACAATTTTCTAACTATCGTGAGTCTGGGGCTACAGCTCAGTGGTAGAGTACATACTTACTTAGTATGCACACGGTCTTAATATTAAACATCTTTAGCATTTCATACACACACAAAAAATCTAACCATCCTTTCTGTGTTTCCCTTCCTTGCCTGCTTAATTACTTCCCTGTAACTTGCTACTTTTGGTCCTTGTGATGTTTTCTTATTCTGCATCACTTCTGACTGCCCTCTTTTTAGAGAATAATAGGAGAAAGTAACATAAGGAATTTGGGGAGTGCCAAAAGAAGAGAAGCGATAAAACTTCTTACTTGAAGTTTGGTAGATGAGTACTTATGAAACAATGAAAAGCAGGTCAGAAGAAAATGTAGTCCAGTACTGGAGGTGACTGGCGGGATTCAGAGAGCTTATCTGGATCATAGGCTGTCGCAATAAAAGAGAAACTAGGTGTATAAGGGGCTGTAACAAAATTCCTGGCATAAACAATGTAAAGGAGGAGTGAGGTTATTTTAGCTCATAATTTCAGAGATTTCAGGCCTTAGTCCTTGGCTGTCTTGATTCTGAGCTGTGATGAGGCAGACCATTGGGGTAGGACCATACCAGAGGAGGAAGCTGCTCACCTCGTGGCAGATAGGAAGGCGGAGAAGGGGAGGGGTGGGGTGGTAAGGGATTGGAAACCCTCAAAGCCCAAAGTATACAGAACCACTAGCTGGAAACCAAGCATTCAACACATGAGCCTATGGAGGACAGTTCATAGTCAGCCCACAAAGTTGAGGTGGACACTGTGCTTCATGCCTGACTTGTAGCTAGCACTCAGGAAGAAGAGGGCAGAAAGGTAAATCAGGGCAAAAGTTAGTGAGACTACCATCTCACCAAATGAGTTGAGCATTGATGAATTAGGCCTGCAAGCCCACGTGCCTCAGTGGCACAGGGAGGAGGATCAGGGTCTGCGGCTAGCTCCCAGGCAAAAAGCACGAGGCCTTGTTCGAAAAATAACTGTAGCAAAAAGGGATGGAAGTGTAGCTCAAGGCATAGCGTGCTCATCTAGCAAATGCAAGCTCCTGAGTAAAATTAGTACTACCCAAAATAAAAATAATTGATAAAATCATCTGAGCTGGAAGCTGTTTCTTTGCAGACAGTGTGCTTGAATTTTCTAGTGCATGTGAACTGCTTAGCATTCGTCTCTGCTTAGCTCAAAGGGCTCAGTAAATAGAGCCCATTGCTTGATATTGAACACATTGGTTCATTATAAGTGACATGCTCAGATATAAGGATGATTCTAGCAATTTTCTGGTATCATAAGATTGGATTGGGCTGAGCTTAGTTGCCCAGAGTCTGTGTACTATGTTAAGAGTAATGAGGGGAGGAAGACTCTTGTAGCAGACTCCACTGCACTCTGTGAATTTCTTGACTTGTGGAGCAGTGCTCCTAAGGGCACTATTTTCACCTCCTCTTCCCCCTGGAGACATATATAGTTGAATCCTAATAAGCACTAACTGAATCAAGGAAATCTTCTGCAGCTGGAAAGATGAGCTAAAATAAACAAGCTTGTCTGTGTTAAGTGTTCTCCATCTTTCTGTTTAAAACTATTTCATCTGTATCGACAAGCCTTGAGTATGGTTCTGCGTTCTTAAGACAACACAGTTATTTTACTGTATAAAATGAAGGCCACATTTTTAGAGATTTTTGTTTTTGTCTTTCTCACTTTCTGTTTTTCCTCCTCTCTCTGTGTCTTATTATGTAGCTCAGGCTGGCCTCAAACTCAAAATCCTCCTGCCTGATGCCCCTGAGGTCTAGGATTACAGGAGTATGTCACCACACCTAGCAGGAACTTTTTAGCTCAAAAGTATATTATTTTGCTGAGTTGTCATACAGGCCTGCACTTCCAGCCCTCAGGAGACTGAGGCAGAATCATATTGAATTCAAGGATTGTATAGTGAGACCCTGTCCCAAAATACACACATATGTACATACACACAGTACTTATACACACAAAACATGTTTATAAAATTTTTGAAAATGATTACAAGCTCAGTGTCATATTTTTGCGACATACTTGTGAATTCCATTAAAAAATTAATTGGACCTACTGGTAACCAATTATTTATAGGTCACATATATTTACTGTTGTCTTTGTAGTTTGTAAGTCTGATTACTTTTAAATTCCTAGTCTATTGTAGTGCCTTTTTATTTAAATTTTAAATATTACAATATTTTGTGTCCTTTTTGTCTCAGGTTGGAAAATCACCAAAGGATAGGTTATGCCGAAGGGTAAGTGAATCTCTTAATTATACAAGTACAGTTGTTAATCCTAAACTTAACCTTGTACTTGATTAACTGAAGAGGTGAACTATGCCTTTTAGCAATTGGATGACACAGCAGGAGATAAGAGAAATAGAAACGAATATATTAAGGAAGTGGTCATGAACTATGGCCAATTTTAATTCATCTTTCCAGACTGTGAAGTTAGCATGTTGTTTTCTTAAGACACATTCATCTTTGGACTTTGAATGGTACAGTAACATGCTATGCCTCCCACATGTTAATCCAGCATCACATGGAGTCAGAGGCATTTGAGTAGTTTCCTTAATCTTCACATATGTAATAGCCATTGTTCAAATACAACATTGCTCTAAATAGAGTTCTAATCGACAGATACTGTGCTTGTACTTATGGCCACTTTCACTCAAAACTTTTACTCAAAACTTTGAAATATTATTAAAAATGGCTTAAGAAATGCTGGGACACAGGACTCTAGCCCTCATTATCTTGCTGCCCACAGCATGAATCTAGTAGTTCTCAAGCTAAAGAATTTTAGTTTTGTTCAGAAGGTTCAGTTCAGTCTCTCAAAGATACAGGGAAAACACATGTCTCATGTCTCTATATTACCTGTATCTATTTCTTGGTTAGTTGAGTAGCAATGTGGAAGGTTATTTATAATACACAAAGAATACTAGTTTTTATGTACCCTGTTATGTGTATATGCTGGGGGCCGATCCCATAGTTTTGTATAGTCTAAGCACATGTTCTACCATTGAGCTGCACGCCTTCCTAGAACACAACTTTTTTTAGCATATATTTTTATTAGCTTTAACTGTGTTACTTCTCAGTGGCACAATTTTAGGATAATAAAGGAGAACACTAATTTTTTTTTTTTAGGGAACTTAAATATGCCTATGACTTCAAATTCTTGTCTGTCCAGAGTAGAGTAGGGTGAACAGATGTGTGGAATCTTCTTGTTTTCTGCTTCTAATAGCTGTTTTGGTTCAGGACTGATTATGTTCCATTTTGAAACAGGATGTGGGGATGAGTGACACAGCAATGACATCTTTCCTGGGCTCCTGTTTAGATCTTCTTCAGACATTATTAGAGGTAAAAGTGGTATATTCTAGCCAGCTATGGCAGCATATTTGTAATAAGCAATCAAGGAGGCTAAGGCAGCTCAAGACCAGTCTGGGCTGTGTAGTGAGACCCTTCATTCTGAGTGGTGACTAAGATATTAAGTAATCTGAACTTCACTGGCCTTAAGACCGCTGTGATGAGATTATTTTTCATTTTGAGACTGATTTAAGTCCAACAATAGGATTATTCTTATTAGACTTGATATTCTCTTACTGTCATGGGGGTATAGAACATGGGTTTACGCTTTGCTTCAGGAAGTCATCAGGATATTGGTAGACTTTATTTTCCAGTTCTTAATTCAGTCCTGCATTCTGCAAACCCTTAGGCAGACGTTAGCAGGGATGAAATGCAAGTGCCTGTCTTGGACACTGAGGATGCTTGGCTCTCTGTGGAAGGCCCAATCTCCATAGTGGAACTGGCCCTCGAGCAGAAGCACATCCACTACCCACTGGTGGAGCACCATTCCATCCTCTGCTCCATCCTCTACGCAGTCATGCGCTTCTCTCTGAAGACTGTGAAGCCACTTGCACTTTTCGATAGTAAGGTAAGTGAATGTCCCAAAGGACCTGAGAGCCATTTAGGTGTGGCAGGGTAGCAGACACGCAGATTTTCTTACTAAATAAAAGTTGTTCAGTTCTGTGTGACCTACGTAGTTCATATATCTTTCTTTGAATGTCCTAAGGGACTTAGAAGTCCTCATATGTAAGATCTGCAGACCCTCACCCTGTTGTGTCCTGACTCAACTTTGCTTTGCCTCCTAAATTCCCTGTTTTGGATAAGTGATGGTTTTAGTGCCTTGCACATGAGTTAATTAACATATTCAACAGAAAGTACCTATTAACAAGTTTGCCACATGGTAAATAATAAATAGTATAGTTTTAGACCTCTACATCTAAGATGTAGAAGCTATATCTGAAAATACTCAGGATACTTTATTTTCAAAAGAAAAATTCAAGGTGTGTGTGGGGGAGGTGGGGAGAGGGAGGCATTTCTCAAGTGGTAGAGTACTTGCTAGGGTTCAATCCCAGTACCATAAACAGTAAAATAATAACCAGTTGTAGTAGGGTCGTTTGCCCAAGGTATAATCTGATTGAAAACGGTGGGTTTTGAGATAGAAACTTAGTTTTCTGACTTAAAGATCAATGCTCTTTGCTCTGTAGTACATTTCCTGCCTAGGAACTTCTTGTGTGCTATCTACTGATAGTCCTGATTTTTCTGACTTACTCTACTTAACTCTTAAGATATTTTAAATGAGTCAACAAATACTTTTTTAAAAAGATTTAGATTACATAGGCTTAGTACTATTACTGCTTACCAGTTGATCTCAAAACTTAGTGGCTGAAAACCACCAACAATTGTATTTGTTTGCTTTTCAGTGGTAGGGATCAAATGCAGAGCCCTGAATATGGTAGACAAGTGTTCTGCCATTGAGCTATATCCCCAGCCTAGGGTTTTTGTTTGAAATAGAGTCTCACTCTGTAGCCTAGGATGTGCTCAGAATCATCCTCCTGTCTGGACCTGGGATTACAGACATGTACCACCACCTGGTTTCTAACCTCAGTTTTTGGGTTAGGTATCTGACTGTATCTAGATGCTTCTTGCATAATGTCTCACGTAGTTATAGTTAGCGTATTGACGTGGGATATTGCTTCATGTAAAGGCTCAACTGGGATGGGGACAGTGAGCCACTTCTGGGCCTGTTGGCAGGACTAAGTTCTTTGCCATAGATATGTTTCTCTCCACTGGGCAGCTCACGGTTGCTGTCTTCCCTCACATGTATGAGCGCTCAAGGCAGAAGCCACAGTCCTTGCTTGGGAGTGATGTGCTGTCACTTCTGATTCCATTTGCTAGCAGCTAGTCACCAGCCCCCAGTCTAGAGGATGGAATGGTCTATGGTATGAATACCCTAGAGGAGGTGGCCGTTGGGGACCACTGGCTGCCCCCCACATACTTTATAACTGTCATAAAAACTTAAGTAGTAGAACTGTTAAATGCTACTGTTTACAGAAAGAGTTAAAGTCAACCATAAACTATTCGTAATTCAGTGACTTGTTTTTTAAAACCTTTTCTTTTTTCCTCCCTTAATAACTCATACTCAGCATTTTCTTCATTTCCTTCTCTTTAGGGAAAAAATGCATTTTTCAAAGACCTAACTTCAATTCAGTTATTACCAAGTGGGGAAATGGATCCAAATTTTATTTCTATACGACAACAGGTAAATGACTGTTATTGGATTTCATTCTTGTTTCTTGGGAAGAAAAACAGGATAGCAAAAATCTAGCTGTCCTTCAAAAGAATGAGTAATTTCAAGGTATTCTCAAGAGCTATTTTCCATTTTTCTGGACAGTGAAAATTTTAATGAGTCACTGACAGAAAACCCATACTAATGAAGCACTGCTGTGTCTCTCTCCATTCTCAAGTTCTTGTTGAAAGTTGTTAGTGCAGCTGTCCAGGCCCAGCATTCAGTGGCCAAGGACCAGGACTGTTCAGAAGAGGCAGCAACTACTCCTGGGAAAGACCCAGACTGGCCAGGGTTGGCCATGGACTTATCCCATCACCTTCAAGTTAATGAAGATGTAGTTCGAAGGCATTATGTGGGGGAGCTCTACAACCACGGAGTTGACCACTTAGCAGAAGAGGTAATAATGACCCGGGAATGCTAATGAGGCTGAGGTTACAAAGCAGTCAGTAACGTCTCCGGAACAGCTTTTTGCTTTTTTGTTAGAACTTTGAGGCACAAATGTAGAAAAAAAGGAATACAAATTGTAGCTAAATAAATTCCTAAGTGGGGGGAGGGTAGTGCAGAGGTGGGGAGGGGAAGGGATGGGAAGGGGAAACAGAGGAGGAGGCAACGATGCTTGATAAGAAATGGACTCATTACCTTGCCCGTGTAATTGTAACCCCTCTGTACAGTATTTTCACAATAAAAATAAATAAATTCCTAAGTGTTCCAGGCACACTCAGTATACAAGGATGAATCTGTAAACAAAACAGGCAATTCTTCATGAAATTGATAGTCTTCCAGAGGGGGAGAAGAGCATGATAAATTGTGTTCTGAGCATTACATGCTATGAAGAAAATAAACAGGGCCATAGCAGGTAGTGAGAGAGCTCAACTGCTGAATCCCCAAGCTAAGACGCAGCCAGCCACTCAGAAAACGAGGGAAGTACAGAGTATATTCATGCAAAGGCCCAAGGCAGGGGCCAGCTTGCGTGGGTACAGGACTAGAAAACCCAGTGTGCTTGTCAAACACAGGAGCAACAAAATATGATGTGAGGAGGGGGGCAGAGGGACCCCAGCAGGGACAGTGTCGTGCCCACAGTCATTCAAGGTACATTCATGAGGGCTGTCAGCACTCATGACATCATCTTACATACTGTAATCCCTTCTTTGTCAAACACTTGAAAGTAAGACATTATACAGTTCCCCTGCATTGAAAAATTATGTAATAAAGGAAAAATATGGCCCATGTTGGAGAGTCAGGTTTAAATGCTAAGTTTCCTTGGGTATATACATGGCCACTGCTAAAAAGTCAACTAGATCTCCTCACTGGCAGTTACTTTCTAGAATAGACGACTGCTTGATGCTCACTGTATTATTTCTCCTTGTTCACACTGCAGGCCATTCTGCAGGTCCATGACAAAGAGGTGCTGGCCTCTCAGCTGCTGGTGCTGACAGGGCAGAGGCTGGCTCATGCACTCCTCCACACCCAGACCAAAGAAGGGATGGAGCTGCTGGCTCGACTGCCACCCACACTCTGCACTTGGCTGAAGGCAATGGTAAGTACAGTAGAATGAGAGCCACTGGGCGCTGGTGGCTCACACCTAGAAGCCTAGCTACTCAGGAGGCTGAGATCTGAGGATCTGGGTTTGAAGCCAGCCCAGTAGCAAAGTCTGTGAGACTCTTATTACCAAAAAAGCCAGAAGTGGCTCACGTGGTAGAGTGCTAGCTTGAGCAAAAAAGCTCAGGGACAGCCCCCAGTTCTTGAATTCAGATATACACACACGCACACACACATACACAGAGCTACAATTTAGAGTATAATGTTTTGTTTTGTCTTGTTTTAACTGGGAAATACCTATTGTGATGTCTTAAGCCATTCACCATTATTGACTGGTAGTGCATGACTAATGGGTTATTTTGTGTTTGATTTACAGAACCCTCAGGATCTTCAAAACACTGAAGTGCCCATTACAACAACCGCTAAACTAGTAAATAAAGTAATGGAGCTGTTGCCAGAAAACCACGGGCAGTATAGTCTAGCCTTGCACCTTATTGAAGCTGTGGAAGCCATATGTATTCCTTCTTTATGACACTTACCTATTGAAAATAGTCTAAACTTGTGTGACAAAAACGTGAATTAGTGCATGGCCATTTTACATAGTAAGAGCTGGAATTTTATGGAATATATCATTTTCTGTTTTTGTAAAATAAAAATATATATTACTTTCAAAAAGTGCAATCTTGGGTAAAATCCACTCCTTTGGTTAATACTAGAGATAAAATATGAACAAATATTAATTATACTAAACAATACAGATGTTTACTGTTTTTAATTCAAACCCTTCAGTAGTTTTGTTGTTAAACCTTGCTATTTAAATTGGTTATCATTTACCGATTATGTTCTTATAGAAGCCTACATTTCATACTCTTGTTGTGACAAGATTTAAATGTGTTCATGGCCAGTCACAGTGTGCAGTTAGAGGAACACCCTGCTTTCCTTTAAAGTGCTGAGCAAGTTTGCTAACAGGCTACTCCTGGCACAGTCCTCTTCCTGGGTGTGCTGGGTGTTGCCAGCACCTGTTGGCAGCACCTTTCCAAAGTGCTGCCATCGGAGGAGGAGAGGAAGGAGTTTGAGGCCTTCAGAAGGGACACGGGTAGCACTCGTAACTTGTAGTCCTTGCCAAAACAGGGGATCTGGGATGCAAATGCAGCAAAATCACTATGATGTAATTAACACTTGCTTTTTTGCCCAAGTTGTATCCACATCAGGAAATTGTAAAAAAAAAAAAAATGTATTATCTTGTAAAACTTATGTAGAAAGGGGAGGGGATTCTAAAATACTTCAGTCCACCTTTATTTTTCCTACAACTGTTTAGAAATGTCTGCTCCTAGGGTTGGTAATGTAATCTGTCCTTGAGAATGTTCAGGAAAAGTGCTTATTGATACTCTAGCTTTAGCAAACCTACCTCACAGCCGGGTTGAAAGGATACAGTACAACTAATTTTGTACCCTACAGTGCCTAGAGCAGTCCAAGTGCTAAATAAATATTTTTTGATCCAAACCAAACTAACCAAAAGTCTGTAAGAAGTGTGTTGAACTCCACAAATACAAGTATGTATTGTGGGGCGTGTTTGGAATGAAGCCACACTGTGCCGCTACGGTATGGGTCACAGGTTTTCATAGTCACGCATGTGATACAGAACTTGGTTTCTTCGCTTCTTGTAAAGCCATTTCTAGCATTGAGCACAGTTGAGGAGGACTTCCTTCAAGGACATAATATCCAAACGTGAATTTTTTTACTAAAAGATCACTTTCAACCAAGACCCGACTTAACTGTTTATGTAGCTATCAACTTTCAAGTCTAGAAAGAAAACTATCTCAGGTGTTGAGTGGCTGTGGTAGACGTGTTGAGTCTTGGGGTGCGGGTGGCATAGAGAAGCAGCACGGGAAGAAGCCTGAGCTGGTCCTGAGCTGGCCCGTCCTCCCGCCTCACTGACCTCCCCTCCCCCGCCAGACACAGCCTAGAATCCTGTAAGCGCATTGAGCTTCATAGAGTCGCTTGTTACATGTGTTCTAAGGAATTAGTTTTTCCTGTGATTCTCAAAATACTCTCAAAGTAGTATGAATTTAGGAGGGTGGTCAAAGAAACTTGGGGTTATAGATACTACTGTCTAATTCCATTTATACTTTTTTTGGGGGGAGGGTGAACTTGCATTTTAGATAGTAATAAAAACTTACTCTGGAAGGTTCCATAATCAAATCTAGGGATACTGAAGAAAAAGCTGAAATATGGTTCAGAGAACTTTTTCAACAAATTAAATTTGTCATCATAAAACTTAACATATACAAAATCTGAATTCTGGGTTTAATGGTTAGGAAAAGCAGTTAAATATTTTACTGCTTCACTAAGGGCTTTTAAAATAAATCTGATAACAAGAAAGAAAAACGAAGCAGGTCATGGTGGCACATGCCTATAATTCCACCTACTGGGGAGGCAGACCCAGAAGGATCTCAAGTTTAAGGCCAGCCCAAAAAAGTTAGAAGGCCCTGGATTCAATCCTCAGGACCACAAAAAATAATAATAATTTAATATCTATGTATACATTCTATTACACGAAGAGCTACAAATAGCAGAATTAGGTTTTACATAGAATAGGCATATACAGGTAGCCCAGGTTCAGAGAAGCCAATAACCACGAGTGTTTCCTATAGACACTCCCTTCCTTAAAGTTACATACTTTTTACACTGCTAAAGTCTACTTTATAATGCTAAAGGAAAAAAGAGGTGTTCAAATAATTATAACTACAAATTACACCTAGACATAGAGAAGTAGGTAAAGAAGATATAAATAAATGTACATAAGGAAGTATATAGCACCAGGCTCCTAAATGCTTCAGATTTAGAAAAAGGGGGGAAAAAAAATCTGTGTTTTATAACATTTCATCTAAGATCAAAGTCAGTCCTTTTAAATTGCCTTTTTAAAAACTGATGAATTGTAATTTAAAATCATAAGAAAAGTTAAGATTTAATAATAAAAAGCTTACGCCAATTATGTTCATTTGGCAGTTGCTGTGGTCCTCTTCATTTATAAGAGACAGATACTTTCACAGTGCCCCAGAGCAGAGGTACAGGCCTCTCCTGGTAACAGGAATGGGGCGGAGGGCTTCTGAGCTCCTAACAGATAAATGTCTGCTGCGTCAATTAGCCATTCTCAGAAAGATTTTAATCCTATACTGGATTGTTTATGAAATGTTCTTTTATCTGTTGTACTGTAAGCAGTGTGAAATTCTGTATATATTGCTATTTTCTGTGTTCATTGTTGTGAACTTCTTGTATATTAGTGAAATAAATTTTCAGCTTTCTTGTTTAACACTCACAGACGTAAGTATTAAGAAATTTCTCCTCTTAAAGAATAAATGTGATTTTTCCCCTAAGCAGCAGTCAGTTGCTGGCTGTTGAAAGGTCCGATGCAGCAGTCAGTTGCTGGCTGTTGAAAGGTGCAATGCAGCAGTCAGTCGCTGGCTGTTGAAAAGTCTGATGCAGCAGTCATTGGCTGTTGAAAGGTCAGAGGATGTCTCACCTCGGGGGCCACCCATCCCACTCATGCAGGCCACCTGTTCACTGTCCCAACACTGCATTGACATCACTCAGTAGTTTTCCAGAGTGCCTTTATTTTCAGACATCAAGAACTTAAAACACTGAGTCAAAAAAGGTCTTTAGAAAATATAAAACGTATTCTGTGGAGCCATATTGGAAGCAGTATATTCAGTGTCCATGTTCTGAATAAGTCTGATACAGATACATATATGTATACAGATACATATGTATATCCACATGTATATATATACATCATTATTTCTCAAGAAGTAGGAAATACTTCTTTTATAGTTTTCATTTTGACCTCATCCTTTAGTAATTACTTTTCCACTCCTTATCTAAACCTTGTATTTCTTTCTGACCTAATGCATCCCATCAGTACTCTTGGGAGTGTTCCCAGAAAGCTGCTAGCACCAGTCTTACTTTCCACCAACCACCTCTGCACATCGGGGACACAGTGTGTCTGCAGACTCCGCAGTGTACTTCCAGCAGCGGGGACATTTTTCTTTCGAAGTTGGCACAACAATTACTTTATATGAAGACTCTTCACGAATATCACCACCTATAGACAAAAATACACGGGGGGGGGGGAATTTCAAATAGACCAATTCAGTTTGTTTCACTACTGCCTAATTGGTTTAGTTGGGGCTCCTTTTTCTAAGACTTTCTGCTGTGATAGCTTCTGCACCATTTGGCTAGTAACCTGCCACAATGATGGGATGACATTACTTGGCAAATGAAGACAGCCAAGGAGGGAGGGAGCCCTAGGGATAAAACTAGCTGATTTTTACCCAAGTCACTGAGTTCTGTACCTGCTCAGACAGAGCAGGCTTTCTAGCTTTCAGTCCAAGTATAGTTCTGATGGGTCACATTGCCTCTCCAGATACATACACTTGACTAAGGACTTTTGCATACATGCGTGCACGCACGCATGGGGCTTAAATGATTGGCTTTTTTCTACTTCCAATATTTTTGCTGTTAATTGGAGATAAGAGTGTCATGGACTTTGCTGCTTAAGGCTGGCTTTGAACTGCAATCCTTACATCTCAGTCCCCTAAACAGCTAGGATTACAGGCATGAACCACCAGTGTTTGTGACAGGATTTTTTTAATAGCCTAAATGACTGTGACTACTTGTATTGAAAACTTCTTGGATTGGCAAAAAGGCCTTTATCTAATACTAAAACTTAGATATTACACTGATTGTGAAAAATATAGTACAAGAGAATTACTTCTAGTCATGCAAAAAAAAATTAGGTTAAGATTGTGACTAGATCTTGGGAGATAGAGGCAGGAAGATCTTGAGTTTGGGGCCAGCCTGGGCAAAAAGCAAAACCTGCCTAAAGAAAAAATAGGTGGGGTTCGGTACACAACTCATATGGGAGAGGGCGCAGATATACCCACAGCCGTAGCTTCGATCCTAATACTCCCCATCCAAGTTTTTGAAAATCAGATTAAGCCAGATCTTCATAGACAGAGTACTTACTGCAAGCCTGAAATTCAGATGACACCTGCAAGTTAGCTTCCTGTCTCTCACGGGCACCTGAAATCTATTACAACACCTGCTGCTTACTCTACTAGTTCTATTCCACTTTTCTTTGCTCCTATTCATGCAGATAAACCAAGTTGACAGAAAGTACCCTATAAAGCTATCTGCAGCTGCTGTGAGAGTAAGCATGGTTAAGTCCTACTCTAATTTGGGCTATGGATGAGGACATTTCAGAATCAGTACTGCAGGATTGGGCAGGTAAAATAGGTACTAGGTAAGATAGATCCTAGGACACTATATCAAAGTTTAGGGACACGGATGGGAAATGACAGTAAAGCAGATGACAGACATAGATGGTCACTCAGAACAAGTGAATTGTCTTCTATCATTAGCCTTCACTTCCCAAGGTCATCAGCAAGGACACTTGAGAGCCGGCTTAGACACTTTCCATACAAACATATTTCAAGTCCCTATGAGCCCCTAGAATAGTTCACACTGAAAGCTGGATAACTCAGTTCTCTAGACACTACTTGCTGCTATCACATGCTGCTTACCTTCTAAATTGATGAGGAATGTCCCGGTAAGCTCAATTCCATCCGCAGTCCTCTCCCGAGGGTCCTGGGCCAGTAAGGTTGACTGTGAAGCCATCATTAGCTCATTCAACTGAGAGGTGCTGGAGGTTTCTTCAGCTTGTAGCATCTGGAAGTGAGCACAGACAAGTAACTAGTTAAATTTTCACCATCAACTGAGGTAGGATATCTACTGGAATATCTTCTATGTTTTCCTTCACTAACATACACACATACACACACCATGTGCTGTTTACCATCCTCACTTTACAAACGAGTTATCAGGCAGAGACTGCCTGCTTCCCAACCAATAGAGAAGCTGCAACTCAGGTCTAGTCTCATAGCCAATACTTTTTTTCCAGTATCATGCTTCTGACATTTGAGGGCGAATTAAGACACTGTATCTAAACAAAGACACGTTTTAACACTGTGGATTAATGGTTATGATCTAAGTACCCAGAAACCTAAAGTACACTGAATTTAGATGTCTTGATACACTTTTGTGGGTGTGTATTTTATTTTATTGTGGTAGTAAACTCAGGGTCTCAAACTTGCTAGGAAAGAAATCTACCACTGAGCAATGTGTCCAGTCCTTGTTTGCACTAGTTTTTGATGGGGTCTCTTTCTTGACTGGGAGCATACCTGAACCTCAATCTTCCTATTCTTTTGTTTCCAACAGCTGCTGGAATGACAGGCGTGTGCAATTGTGCTCACTGATATGGAGACTCAGACTTTACTGACCCTGTGTTCAACTATTGGTTGAAAAGAGGTCTGCCAAACTTTTCTGCCTGGGCTAGCCTGGAACTACGATCCTCCCATCCTCAGCCTCCTAAGTAGCTAGGATTATGGGTGTGAATCTCCAGTGCCAGGTTCACTAGTACAGTTTTTATTTGTAATTTTGACCTTCACAATGAGTTGTGATATTCCTTAAAATACATACCCATGAAACTGAGATTAGTTTGGTTTTAGCAGGTTCACCCAATTAGTAGTCAACAGACGCAGGACTCTTAAGCGACAACTACTTCCTGGGATTCTTAGGAAAATACACGTGGTTTTTGAAAGAAGTCTCAAATACTTTTTCTGGTATGTTCCAAAGCAAGCTATAATCTTCAGATTACTATTTACAACAACTGAGGCCCAGGCTAGCAGTGTATAAGGGACAAGTACAGGATGAGTTGGTACAGCCTGTGTGAGCTCATAACTTCAGTGTTTTCATGTACTAAATGAAGGGTTAACACTTCCCAGCTTCCAAATCTTAACATGCTAATACCCGTGTTTGGATTTTTTGTTTTTTTGTTGTTGTTGTTTCTTTGGGGGGTAAGAAGAGTCTGGCCAGGACTGCGCTTTAAACTCAGGGCCTCATGCTTGCTTGGCTGGGGCTCCATCACTGAAGGTACAATTTAAGCCTAGATTTTTGTTAAGTTTTGAAGTTGGAGTCTCAAGGAATTTTATGGCTTTACAATGGGAATCATCCAGTCTCAACTTTCTAAGTAGGATTATAAGCATGAAGCACTAGTGCTCAACTAATAATTATTCTTCTATTATCAATAATCTACCACTAACCTAGCTATTGCAAGTATTGAATCTTTATTACTTTAATTACATTATTAAAAACTTGGGCTGGTGCAGTAATCTGTAATCCCAGAGGGCTGGAATTCAAGCTAGCCAGTGCAAGACAAGTAACTGAAAGCCCCACACCAATAAGTTGGGCATGGCAGCATGCACATGCCACCCCAACTATATGGGAGGCATAGATTGGAGGATTGAGGTACAAGCCCAAACAAACACATAAAACCCAGAAGTGGCACTGTGGCTCAAGTGGTAGAACACTAGCCTTGAGCTGAAGAGCTCAGGGACAGCGCCCAGGCCAAGGTCAAGCCTCACAACCAACCAACACAAAACAAAACGTAAGACCCTATTAAGAAAATAACTAAAACAAAACAGGCTGAGGGGCACAGGCATAGTAAGCATGAGGCTCTGGGTTCAAACCTCAGTACCACTAAAAAGTGTGCATAAAAATTGAGGCTATCAACGTAATTAGAGGGTAAGTTTTTTAATTTTTTTTAGAAAAAGTTGTCCGTAAAACCTAAAAAATATATTCAGTGCCAATTCTGATCTTAAGCATTAACTAAAGAAAAAACTCTCAGTAATGTGTTAGGCTTAAGCTAGCCAATTAACCCCTAAGAATATTAGGAAAAAAAAATGTTTACGAAAGAAATTTTGATGGGCCTTTTTGGGAAATAATAACGGGATGTATGCTCTGAGATATACAGGATAGTTTGCTAGCTTGATAGTGTGTGCCTGTAATCCCAAAAGTCTCAAGCAGAAAAGTTCAAGGCCAGCCTGGGCTACACAGTAAGACCCTACCTCAAAGCAAAACAAAATATTTTCTCCAGATCACATGGAATTAGAGACAGATGTAATTTTTGAGTTTGTTTCAAATCTAGTTCATATTGACAAAATACTCAAATACACCTTACTCTTACTACAAAACTCCGAAATTTTATGTATTCTGATATGGTAGTCTGCTATGACTACTGTCATTTCCCGTGTGCAACCTTCTAACCCTGAGAGTTCACTTCAGGAACTCTTGTAACTTCCTGTCCCTACAGAACAGCATGCTTGTGCCCATGAGCAGAGGATGCCTTTTCTAAGAAAAAATGTAGGAAACAATTATAGATAACATCCACATGGCAGGACTGACTGAAACCCTCATCTCTAAATTAGTGATAAAGTTCCTTAGGATAATGTTTATAAGCAAGTTCCAGGTGACGCTGTGTATGACTAGTGCACGTGCAAAGGCCTGTGGGTGGCATACCTCCATGATCTCAAAGAGCAGCCCGGGCTCTATGACAATGATGACCTCGTACTCGGCGGCGTTTTTGCCAGGAATGCTTCCGAGGAAGGAATCGCGCATGGCGCACGTGCTCTCCACCGCCTCCTCCAGCCCAGGCTTCTTCCAGATAGAGCTGGTGCTGATCCACCCCGTGCGGAAGACACTCTGGTCTTTGGAAGAAGAATGAGCAGACTGACATGTACCTGGGCTGTAACCATTAAGGATTCACTGGTGCTGGCAAGAGGGAGCAGTTATTTCTGAGAATCATGTGATGAACCACCATGGGGGCAGTCTACGTCTCTACCAACATGGAGATGGAAAGTATCAGAGAGAGATCCCGAGATTAACAGCGCCTGTCTAGAGCTGGAATATTTACAGTGGCTTTCCCCTCACCCTCTCCTTTCTACACAGAGTCTAACATTCTAATAGCTTGATTCAATCATGAGGAAATAAACTGTCACCAAAATATTCCCAAGTTTTCGCAAGTAAAATAGACTTTGGGACCTGCCTAAGCGCACTGAGCATGGTGACCTGTCAGCATTCTGAAGCTGCTGCTACCCGTCGGGGCATTGGAGATGCTCAGCTCCACTCGGCCACCATCCTCGCCAGTACCCAGACGGGTGTGCAGCTGCGTGGGGTACCTGACCCCTGCCCGGGTGTGTGTGTGCGGGGGGGGCGGGGGGGTGGCACTGTGGGAACAAACCCCACTTACCTTTCAGGTAGGGAATGTGCTGGAACACCTCTTCAGCCAGGTGAGGGAGGATGGGAGCGAAAGACCGAACCAGCACATCCAAAATTTCGGCCAGTGCCGTCTGACAGGAGCGCCGCCGGGGGTCGTTCTCACTCTCGCAGTAAAGCCTGCGTGAGCGGGGCCGTTAGCACCGCCCAGGCCGCCCGCATCGCGGTGCCACAGGCCCCCCCGCCCCGCACGCCACCCACGCCGCCCGCATCGCAGTGCCACAGCCCCCCCCACGCCGCCCGCATCGCAGTGCCACAGCCCCCCCCCGCACACCACCCGCATCGCAGTTCCACAGCCCCCCCCGCACGCCACCCACGCCGCCCGCATCGCGGTTCCACAGCCCCCATTGACTCACACACCAACATGCTCTACCCGCTCCCTGTGTGCCCACCTGCATTTTTTTGTTTGTAACTTTTTATTGTTATTATAATGGTGAGGTACAGAGGGATTATAGTTATATAAGTCAGGTAAAGAGTACATTTCTTAGGCCGGTGCTGGTGGCTCACGCCTATAATCCTAGCTACTCAGAAGGCTGAGATCTGAGGATCATGGTTCAAAGCCAGCCTGGGAAAGAAAGTCCGTGAGACTCTATATCTCCAATATACCACTAGAAAACTGGAAGTGGTGCTGTGGCTCAAGTGGTAGAGCGCTTGCACAGCACCCAAACCCAGAGTTGTAGCTCCACAACTGACAAAAAAGAGTACATCTGGGCTGGGAAGGTGGCTCAGTGGTGCTCTACCGCTCTGCTTGCCTTGCATGCTGGAGGCCCTGGGTTCGATTCCTCAGCACCACATAAGCCAAAGGAAAAAAGCCAGAAGTGGCGCTGTGGCTCAAGTGGTAGAGTGCTAGCCTTGAGCTGAAGAGCTGAGGGACATCACCCAGGTTCAGGTCCCATGACTGGACCCCCCCCCCAAAAAAAAAAGAAAGAGTACATTTCTTTTTGGACAGTGTCACATCTTCCCGCATTCTATCCCAGGTTTTTCCTCTTATCTCCCCCCACAAGTTGTATACGTTTTCAACATAGATAGTATCCAGTGAGTACCACTGCTGCATTTGTTCCTGCTTTGACCCTCCAAATTCTGTGCCCCTTCCCTGCTCTCCCAAAGACAGAGAAGTAAAGGAACAAAAAAGAAACAAAAATATCAACAAAGAAAAACACCTCGGGTTTCCATTTCCTGGAGTTCCTTTTGATATGAAGTACTGTATATGATCAGATTGTGCCCACCTTCTTAAGAAACCCACATGCCACATCCAGTTCTGACTTGCAGGTGGATGGCAGCTGCAGGCCAGACTAAAAAGCTAGCTGTGGGCACTTCCAACTGGCACTCACCCCCAAATGCTGCCAGTGCGCTGGGGGAGGAACGCAGCCACAGTCCATCCCTATGTGGGGTTCTGGAGCTGACCAGGCTGACACCTCCCTCCCACTGCCCCAGTGACACACAGCACTTCACCCGCAATCGGCACCCGCAGCACTGAGGTTCTGCATGGCACTGTCTAAAGGACGCCCTGACCTGGCAAATGTTGCTGTGTCACTGCCCTTCCTCCGTCCAGGGCGATGTGCTAGCCCCCCAGCACAGCACGACGCTCCTACCCCAGTACTAGCAGCCATCACTACTTGAGCACTTCCTCTACTGCTTCTGCCATCTCTTCTGCCCGTGACCACACTCTGTGGTAAGTCCTGTGTCACACAGATGAGCCAGATCATGACGCTAGTAAGTGGTAGGTAAGGCCTGATAACGAAGGGCAACTGGAAGCCAATCCTGATGGCTGTGCAGCACCCACCTTGGTCATAACTGGGCCCCAACGTTTGCCAAGCCTGAGTCCACACTCAAGAAACACTTGCTGACTACATTTGACAGTCAACACCTACCTGTCCTTGATGATGCTGAAGTAAAAGTTGGAGAGCTCTCTTGTGTAAAATGCTTTCAACAGCCGAATCACCTTTCCGAAATCATACTGTTTGTAGGAGTCAGTAATCTAGAGGTTCAAGTCAAAAGACATTTGGAATGTGGAATAAATACAGGAAAAATATTAACATAAGTGAAATGTTCCTTTATAAAAATGTCTTAAAAGTGAATAAATAAAAGGCTACTCCACTCTGCAAGCTGTAAGAGAGCACACAACAGCAATGAAAGGAAAGGACCGTGCTGTTTGGCTTTGCTGTGAATTTGTAGTGCTGATGATTGAACCCAGGGACTCTCACATACAGAGCAAGAGCTGTGCTGGGCGACATCCCAGCCCTCAAGTTTAAGTGACAGAATCACACCACTTTTAAATAGCTAAGAGTGCAACTTACCAATAATTCACAATTGCCTGATATGGTTTTTTTTTTTGGGGGGGGGGTGTCGGTGTTTGTTTTGGTGCCAGTACTAGGGCTTAAACTCAGGGCGTCATACTCTTGCTTGGCTGTTTTTCTCAAGGCTGGAACTCTTGAGCCACATCTCTGCTTCTAGCTATGTGGCAGTTGCTTGAAGATGAGAGTCTCACAGAGTTTTCTGTCTGGGTTGGCTTTGAACTTCCTGAGGAGCTAGGATTACAGGCATGAGCCACCGGCTTCTGGCTGCCTGACTTATTTTTGTTTTTCTTTTTTTAATTTTCTTTTTTTTTAGTTTTTTATTGTAAAGATACTGTATAGAGGGGTTACAGATACATGAGTAAGGTAATGAGTACATTTCCTATCAAGCATTGCTATCCCCTCCTTTGCTTTTTCCCTACTATCCCTTCCCTTCCCACCTCTTCTGACTTATTTTTGATCTGAGCAGAACAGACATGTGTGCCTGTGTTTTAAGGGCATACATTTTCAGTTTTGAGAAAGCACAAATTACTTGTGCCTCTTTTCTTAAATATGACAATGAGCAAATATTTTAAGACACATAAAAATAATCATTTCAGCTCTGTCTGAAATGAGGGATACATCTTCAGATAAATAAAATACACCTCTATTCCTCTCTGTTCGGGAAGCAGAGGAAAGTGAGGCCTGGAAAAGCCTAGTCCACGGCCTCTACCATGTCCCTCAATTGTGCTTTCAAACACTTCATACTGAAGGTCGCAGAGAAGAGGGGTGGAGTGTGTGCAGTTCAGCAAGCTTAAGCAGCTCCAGTTGCTGTCTCTATAATGTCTGCCCTGGTCAGACAAAACATTCAACAGTTCAGCACCCCACAGCTGCCATTTCTGTTCTCCTAAAGCGAGTGTTACCTTGGTGGCCAGGTCCTGAAGCAGGTGTAGCATGTATTGGTCTATGACATACATTTCATCTACAGGAATGGAGTCTGTCTCTGGGTTGAAACCAGTCACATTTCCCAGAAGAAAGCGGAGTGTGTTTCTAAGCTATTGAAGGCGAGAAAGAGTACAGTAGGATAAATGTCATGGGGATTTCAAACTCCACAAGAAGTCTATTAAGTTTACTTCCTTCATAGGATACATTATTTTAAACCCATTGTAGAGAGAAAGGGCGGGAGACTGTAAAAAGAGAGGGGAGGAGTTGGGAGTGAGGGGGGAGAATGATGAAAAGGTGACACTGATCAACTGAATTAAAACCCCTTTACAACCACTTACAGATAATAAACATATCATTGTTCCTACATAAACAAACTTTCTTTCCAATAACCCTTACACAAACAAGCAATGGATTTTTATGGCTAAATAATGTCTGTTAGAGAAAATTAATATAATTTTATATCAGTCTTATATTTTGTGTTAATAAAGTATGAAAAGAAATTTTTGGGACTACTTATCTATTTATTCATCTATCTATCTATCTATTGAAGTACTGGCATTTCAACTCAAATACTTTACCAGTCTGTCTTAAAACTCTTTTGGTTTTAGTTATTTTTCAGATAGAGTCTAACGTTTTTACTGGGGCTAGCCTTAGACAAAAATTCCCCTCCCTATTCCTCCTATATAGCTAGGATTGCAGATATATACCAGCATGCTGGGATTCTTGTGAAATGAGAGTGTTGCAAGTTTTTGCTCAGGCTGACTCCCATCTCCACCTCCCAGATAGCTGGGATTAGAGGCGTGCATCACCATGTCCAGCTACTAGTAGCGTTTTCAGCAAATTAATTCAGAATATCTTTAAATGCTCACAACTTGCACTCTCCTTTTCACTTAGTCTTATTATGCCAGAGAAAGTGTGCATCCATTTTTACAACAATGAGTTAGTGAAGTTTCCACTGGGAAACCGGGGAATCATGGCTCTAACCTTGTTAAGGTCATCTCTGGCAGCCTTGAGCGCGGATGAGCCAATTGTGACTTCGCTGAAGACATTGGACTCAGCGACCCACCAGCGAAGGACATCAGCACCATAGGGCGGCTCGGTGCTCTGATCCTGCAGCGGAGGAGCAGCATGCAAACAGAATGACGTCAATTCCAGTGAGCGCAGCAAACACTTGAGAAAAGGTAAGTTTTATTCTTTTTTTGGAGGGGTGAGGGGAAGAGTAAGGAGATAGGCTTGAATTCAGGGCCTGGACACTGTCCCTGAGCTTTTGTGCTCAAGGCCAGTGCTCTACCTCTTTGAGTCCCAGAGCCATTTCTGGCTTTTTAATAGTAATTAGAGATAAGAGTCTCCCAGACTTTCCTGCCTGGGCTGGCTTTGAGCCACAGTCCTCGGATCTCAGCTTCCTAAGTAGCTAGGATTATAGTACCAATTCCTGGCTGATAGTTTTATTCTTATGTGTTTGTTTACACTGAAGTTACTGCATTTTAGGTTCCGACTGCCAATTATGAACTGTTGAACAAAAATCAAATGGCTTCTAAAGGTAGGACCTACCTGTCCTCCATTGATGATGACATCAGGGTCAATGATATTCCCCAGGGACTTGGACATCTTCTCTCCCTTTTCTCCGAGGGTAAACCCATGCACAACCACTGTCCTAAGAAGGTGAGTTAGCTACTTTAATGACAGCATGATTATAATTCCTTTGAAGATAATGCGTAATTTAAAGGTGATCCCAGTTGGACCCAAGTCAGATTTTTTTTTTCCTTGACTGATTATAGGTGAAAGCTTTTCTTAAAGGTTGGTTCTCAGCTGCTAACAGATAGGGATAGTTAAGTAGTGAGCTCTCTACTTCTGCACAGAAAACTGGAGGAGTTTCCACTCATTAAACACATTATTTCCTGACGTATTACATGTTGAAGAATCAATATTGAAGAGTCACTGAAACTAATGAAGGAAAAGCATGTCTTGAAAGAACCACCACCTGAAAATTACCTGAAGAAACAGCATCTGCTGTTCTGATGGGTATTGAAGAAACACATTAGAGAAGAGATGTGGAAATTGTTTTAGGATGGATATGTCACTATTGGTAGCAAAAACTTTAAGTTATTAATAACTTTTCTGATTAAACTGCTCTCCAATTTGAATAAGAAGAGTAATTATCTGTACTAGCTAAAAACACAGTAATTAAGAAAATTCCCTAAGTAATGTTTCAGTTTACTAGTCACTGTGGGTATCACAAGTAAGATTAAAGCATCCTTCCCTACATTCCTGGTTAAATCTCACCTGAATTCACCTGAGTTCAAGACCTATAGCTTTTCCCCTCTATTCCAGTTGATGACCACTTTTGAAGAGTTAAAATTTTCATCAACGACTTCTTTGGTGAGGTCTCTTCTTTTTCCCTTTTTCATTTTCTTACCTTTATTGCTTGTTTGAGTTTTTGTTTATTTTTTTTGGAGGTACTGAGATTTGAACTCAGAGCCTTGCACTTGCTATGCAGGGGTTCTACCACTTGAGTCATGCCACAGTCTGTTTCGTTTTTACTTGCTCTTTCAGATAGGATGGATCTCACATAATTTTACAAGGTTGATGTCAAATAACAATCCTCTCGTCTTGAGTGGCTGGTATATGCCGCCAGGCCAGCTTCTTTTCTTACTTTAAATTCTTCCTCTAATGTGACAGAAGACCATAGTGCTTTCTTATAGAAGAAGAATAGCTCTAATTTTGCTAAGGTTGCATTTATATAGCATCATACGTATGCACATATACATATTACCCAGCACAGGGCTTCCCACACTGGCAGGTACTCAAAGACATTGGCCTTGAGCTCAGGGATACTTACTTAAAAGGTGCTTTCTTCCTTGTTGCCACACTTGTTAGTAAAGAAGACTGAAACCAGCCCCCAAGTTGGTCTTTTCCTTCCAAGTACAAATCTGCTCTTTGGTCAGTACCTAAAAAAATAAAGATCATTTTACATTAACTTAATTAAAGTGACAAAATAAAAATGGCTCATGCCTGCAATCTCAGTTTCTCAAATGGCTGAGATCTGAAGTTTACAATTCAAACCCAGCTGGGGCAGGAAAATCCATAAGACTATCAGTAACTAGCCACAACTACAGAGAGAAAGAAAGAAAGAAAGAAAGAAAGAAAGAAAGAAAGAAAGAAAGAAAGAAAGAAAGAAAGAAAGAAAG